TTGATGTTTTGGTTGAATTTCCTTTAAGTGAATAATGTGTAATCCATTACCTGCATCGAAACAACCTATTACATGGAATCGACAAGCAGAAGGAAGTAACACTTCTTGTTCTTTCGGATAAAACGAATATTTGCCAACACTTTTACCAGAATGACTATCAATAATAAATAATGTTCTTGCTCCATTTTGACCCAAAATATCTTCATTGTTGAAAACATTAAGAGACATTGTACATAATGTAAAACCCCACCATACAAATATTCTTCCCACAGGATATTGTGCAATTAAATTCAATTGTACAGCATGATAAACAGTAAGACGAGTAGAATTTGATGGAAGTTTATTTAACGCAGTCATAATTAATTTAAGATAACGAAACCATGGTTTCAATAATGTTTGATTTCTTGTTTCTAATGTAGTGTTAAGAATGACATGAAACGATTTGTTTATTGGCTTCCATTTTATAGTATATAGAAATATAGAACTTGATTCATCAGTTGTTAAACTATCTTTTGCTATATTACGATTTTTTTTCACTATCGAAATCATCTGTTCGAGTTCTGGGATAAATGGAACGAGTGGATTGACAGCCTCTTCCAAAGAAACAAGTGGTATATTTTCATTATCTTCGATAAGATGAAGCATTTTTGATAATTCAATTGTCATATCAGAAACATTAGAAGAATCCGCAGAATTGTCATTATATTTAGCAGCCATATTTAAATAAAATCTTAAGTTAAAATATTTCTTATTTTAAAATCAATCGAGATTTGAATGCTTAACTTTCTCATCTAGATCAGAATCCTATGTGGGTTTAACTTTTCGAATTTGCATCTGGCTCAATCGAATACAGTTGAAAATTGTTAATGTCTATTTTTTTTTAAATAGAGTGTGTTGGAATGAAAACTATTATCTAGGTTTGTTTCTGAACGTGCTTATCATCAATGCAAAAAGATCAGCATTTATCTCATTACTGTGGCATCAAATCTTTATTCATTAATATTTTTTAAAAACTTAAGTCAAAGAATAATACAAGGATGTTATGGTACCTTAATAATTGGTTTCCGCTATTGCGATTCGAAACTCAAACTTGGGATCTTTATTTACATATCAACTTATAGATCAGAAGCTATCCTACAAGTTATTTTTTGTCTTTCATCAAGGTATCTCATTTTTTGAAAAAGCGACAACCGTTTTACGTTGAATCAAGCTCTTGAAAAATGCTTGTAGTTTCGTTCAAGTAAAAGCTACAGTTCAATTCAATATTACATTTTGTAGAGATGTCTGCTCTACAAAACAACCAACTTCGATCATTTTTTCGCATGTTCGAAAAGGGACCTATAGGGTAAATCAAAACCTATTGACTCACTATAAAAAATAATTTTTTAGACCTTTCAAAGAGTTTCTCATTACTCTTGCACAAAAATAGATACAACATTTCGAAGGATTAAATCTTGATCGTAACCTATAGCTTTTGATTCGTAGAAAATATTTCCTTCTGAATCAAAAATGAACAAATATTTTGTCTAAAAATTTTTCGATCATTCGCTATTGTTGCAGGTAACATCGTTAGAAATTTCGCAGTACTTTGAAGTATGTTGGCTCAATAATATATTACAGTTTCAATGGATTTCTTCATATTCTAGAGAAGGACGATAAATTATGAGACCTTTTCGAAACTGTTCGAATTCTTTCTATAATATATATATAGAAAGAGAGAGAATATGAGTCAATAGCTTTGTAACAGATTGATATCTAAATCAATCATCAAAGCGTATATAGACGATGGTAGATTGTCCGAGTAAAAAATGAGCCCGACAAAACTCAAAAAAAAATGATAAGTATTTTCAATGAAAAATATTTCATATGAAAAAATCTAGTTTTAAATAACTTACTAACAGACAGTGATATGATATAAAACAAAAGTTCTTACGTTGACATATGTATAGACTTTAATATGATAGACAGTGAAAAGATAAAAGTAACTACGGACTCTTCACAAGTAAAGAATGAGAATTTTTTTTTTGTTCTCACACAAAATAATATTTATCTTCAACAAACTATCAAGGTGACAGACAAACAATAAGTACTAAAAACAGTTTGGCTCTTTTTTTAAATTTCAGATATATAATTTACAGAAGTTTGAATAATTAATAATATAGACATATATCTTCTGATCCTTTTGTCTATATGCCTCTACAATAAAAATCTAATATTTATTCTATAAAAATAAAACGAAGTATTATCAAATATTATAAGACAAGACTTGTGTAGCAAATAGTGTTGACTTTTTTCCCAGAGAGATGATAAGAAAACTAAACACTTGCGGAGTTTGAAGCGTTTTTTTATACTCTTTGTTTAAGTATGAGAAAATATCATTAATACAGTTCTTTAAGTATATTATTATATGATTAAACATACTGGACCGTTTATCCATTATATTGAAATATATTTCATATTATAGTATATACGCATATGTATCTGATCATCTACTAAAATATTCGTTTTGCGATTGCCTTTAAAAATAGAATTATTTCTAATATTCAAACGATCTTCAATTAATCGGTTACAACATGTAGTAGTATATACATATCAATAGCTGTTATAAATATTATGGTCGCAGAATAACAAATATATACATTCGAAATATATCAATTATAATCTTCATCATTTGAAGTATGATTACTCTTTATTTATTCAGATGACAATCTTCACTTCTATCCTGTTTATTTAATCGTAGTTCATAGAATACATTGAAATGAATCCAATGATTTCTGAGCCTTCATCCACATCAACTACAACTAATCATCTTAATAAAAAAACACAATAAGAATCAAAATTTCATCATCAACAATGCCTACATCATTGCTTACTACTTATGAAATACCGAAATTTATAACAAATATAGCTATAGTATAAGTTTCATGCACACTGACGTTATTACTTTCTTTGTTCAGTTATAATTATCAATACCATCATTAGCTAATTCATCCAGAATCATAAAAATAATAATTATCAATAAGTTATCCAATGTCAAATCATTTTAGTGCTAACTAGAGTCGGAATACTGACAATTTTAAAGAAAGTTTACTTAAATATTAAGCTATAAGCAAGCATATAGAAATAAAAGTTTCGTTTTTTTTTATAATATTAAAAATTAAAGAAGAATAGAAATTGATTTCCTATTACTTCACATCTCCTATAGAAATAACATTTCTGCAGGAGATGTATTCAACTTTCATATCTATATCATTCTTATCTTCACTATTTTTTACTTTCTTTTGCTTGACATTATTAAACTATACAAACTATTTCCCATAGTATGCAGTATGATTACTTATATCAATAATTTGATTTTATATATGTTCTTCTTCATCTTGTTTATTTATGTCAAACAATAGTTTTCTTCATATAACAATAATAACATAATAAGCAAAAACAAGTTTTTCTCTAAGTTCACATGCAATAACAACGATGAAATAATATATTTTCACTTTCCAACTACAGAGAATATCTTCACTGTACAACAAGAACCATAACAACGAAACAAAAAAACCATAACAAAGAAACAAAAAAGCAATAACAAACAAACAAACAAACAAAAAAACAATAACAAATAATAAAACGAATAATAAATATATACAAACAAAATATAATATTATATATCTCATCATTGATATTGATGTCCTTCTGCATAGTTAATTCGATTTATTGAATTTGATTTACAACAATAACATCTACCAAATAATGAACGATCAAATGATTGAATAAGAAAATAAGATTTCAATAAAGATTTTTGTTTTACATGTGCTTGATATACCTTCAAAGAACAAAATAAAAAAATGAACATTAATTCATTCATTCATTCATTCACACATACTTGCATACTACGACCATTGATGATTTGTCCATCCATTGATTGAATTGCTTGTATAGCATCACTTTGTCTATAATAAATCGATTAATTAATTAATATTATATCAATAAAAACAAAAAATCCATACTTTTCAAATGTTACAAATCCATAACCTCTTGATTGACCATTTTTTAATGGTATTTCAATATCATAGACTCGACCAAATGTCTATTCATTATTAAAAATAAAAAAATAGAAATAGATCATAAATAAAAAAAACATACTGAAAATATTTTTTCAAGTTCAATTGTTGACCAATAATATGGAATATTTGAAATCCAAAGACGCATTGGTGTTGAATGTATTTTCTAGAGTATTTCTTCATATAACATTTCATACTATGATAAATAACTTACTTGTAGAGATGAACAAATATTTGGAGAAGTTTTTGTTGATTGTTGAAGTCGAAACATTGCTGTTTAGAATAGAAATGATGAGAACATACTGAACAGAACACATCGCTTATATATATGTATATATATATATCTATATATATCATTGACCGTTACACTTTAATTAGGAATAAACGAAAAAGGAAGTAACCGTTACGCATTCAAATACAATAGAACCGTTAAAGATGCGTCGTTATTCTCAAATATAAAAGACAAATAAACAATCTTGTCAACCTTTGGTTATGATAACCGTTTGTGGTAATTTGAATTAATTGCTTGAACAAAATAAAAGAAATCGAAATTTCAAAAAAAAACAAAAGATTTGTTGAATGAGATAGCAATCGTTGAATATTATTCTTTTGTAACAACAGCGAATGATTGAAATAATGAAAACATCGAAAAAAAGGATTCCTGATAATTGAATATAGCTAAATCAATATTCAATATCTAAAAATTGGTTTAAGATCAAAAGTTTACTTTGCAAACAAAAAATATGGTAAAAATGATATTTAATTCAAGTATACGTTTTTTACCATCTGATCTTGAAATCCATCTGTCTCTCCTTGCCACTAACAACTAAATATTCATCAAAAAGATTTTATTTCAAAATAAATATTTTACGCTCGCTTTTCATCAAATAAGAATGAAATCAAATTTCTGATCATTTCAAGAATTAACTCAGGAGAATCATCATGGCTACTAATACTTATACAACACGACAAGCTGTAAGATTATTAAAAGATCTTCTTGTGCTCAAAAAGTTTCTATTTTAGGCTTCAATTGGTCTTCAACCAGGTAATTTAATTGGGGAAACACATTATGTTACTGAAACCCAAATAACACCACCGATAAAACAACGTGTTCGAAATACAAAACTTTTAAGTGTAAGAAACAAAATTCATGAAAAATATTTCTCTCATTGTTCTTCCATAGACGAATATAAGTCGATGCCAATGCTGTTGTCCACCAGTTGCATCATCCTTATGTCGTTCATGTTTATGTCCTTGCTGGGCTTATTTACTTATTGGTATTCTTCTTGCATTACTTCTTGCAGCGTTGGCTGTCGAACTTGGTTTTCTGTCTCGTATGATTTCTTAAATTACTGAATCACTTTGTTTTTTACTTATAAAATTTATTTATTGAAGGAGAAAGGGTCCGCTATCAACAACAACTTTGCATAGAGAGATGGAATGCAAGTTATTATTACAATGCAAATGAAACTGATCCATATGACTCCTCAATTGCAACAAGCCTACCATGCACAACTCTTCGTCCAATAAATGGATCTGAAACATTAGTTTGGTCATCTTTTCAATACATTATTGTTCTAATGATCAATTACTTCATTTATTTGATGAAATTTTGAGTTTATTTATCTAACTGAATATATGAACATTTATTGAACTTATAATAATTGTCTTTTGCAATGAAATAAAAACAAACTTTTTTAAACTGAATTGTATTCAAGAGAGGGCACTAGTCTCAAGTCAATTTATGAAAAAAAAACGGATGATCTATCAGAAAGTCAAGAATTTGCTTTAGAAATATTTAAAATCAATAATGTAATTATTTTTATTATTAAATAGAATTTTGAAGTTTTGTCCGTTGCTAAGCAACAGAAAACAAAATTTTTCTATGTATGACATCTTGTAGTTGTTAATAATATTTATCGAGATTTCTATAATATTTATTTCAACATGCTTCAAACGGGTTCACTTCGTCGACCTTATAGTAATCAAACATTAATTAATAATTGGCAAGAAGAACGAGCTGATGTCAAGAATGAACGAATTCAAAAACCACTTCCTTCTCAAGTTAATCATCTTGATCTAATCTATTCTCATCATTTTAAATATGAATTTCTTTGTAGTATGATCATTATTTTATTTCAACATACGAATGTAGTTATGGTACTACTCGAGGTGATCCACCTCGATCTGAAGTTCGTAATCTTGAACGTAAGTCTTCTAATTTAAAAATAATTGATTATTGAAATAAAATTTTATTTTAGTTCCACGTCATTATGCATTTCCTGGTCATCAACCAGAATTTGATTTTCCTGAAATGAAAGCATCAGTTAATACATATGTAACTGAATATCGAGCTGGTTATTGTCGTAATTGTCAACGTGCATTGTCACCTGATGATCCAGCATGGTCAACAACAACAAAAGTTTGTTTACATTGTAAAGATCGTACATATACAATTGATCCAAAACCTGAACCATATACACTCACTGTCGATTATCGTCAAGATCCAGCAGCTAAAAATCGTTGTCTTGCTTGTATGGAAATTAATATGGGTTTTAAAAAAGATTAGACAATAAAAAAAAAATTATTTTTTTTCTTTCTGAATAAATCCTTAATATACATTATTTTAAACAATTTTTTTTTTATAGATTAGAAAAAGAGAAAAATGGAAGCGACGGAACAAGATCTTCTTGCAACACAAAAAGCCCTCGAAGAAGAGGTGCAAAATAAAGTCAAAGAAGCTGTCATGGATAATTTTCTTCGAGTAAGTTATTTAAGAAAAATAAAATAAAATTTTTTAGATAATATTATATATTATAGGAAAAATTAACTCGCGAAGAAAAATTTACACAAAATAATACATTTAAATTAAATACACAATGGCTTGCTGTTATGCGAGCAGCTAAATCAAAAGAATTAAAAAAAGAAATTGAAATTTTATCACAAACATTTGGACGTATTATTGATCGAAAAGATACTGTTATTAAAGCATCATCCAAAGATATAGAAGAAGCTGAAGAACAATATAATATGGCATTAAGAAGTTTTTTTGAAGCCATTGAAAAAATGATTAGTAAGAAAAATTTAATGTCGAATAACTTTTTTTATGCTAATTTCTTATTTAGCAATGCATACATCAACAATTGATAAATTACTTGATCAATATGAACAAGATGTTGAACAAATAAAATATGAATTTCGTGAAGAACGTGCAAGAATAATTCGTGATCATGATATTTCAAAAACTGAATTACAAGATATTATTTATAATATGGAAAAAACATATCTTGATGCCGAAACAACAGCTGAACAAAATTTTCAAGCAAATATGGAAGAATTACGTAATAAAGTTAGTATTATATGAATTAAAATATTTTTCCTATGGAAATAATTGATTTGTTTTTGTCTTTCTAAGTATCGAGAAGATATGCAACAATATCAATTAAATGTTGAAAGTCGTTCAACAGCATTACAAAATGAAATGACACTCATAACAAATAATTATAAAGAACGAACAAGAGAAAGTAAAGCACAATATCAAGAATATAAAATGAAAGATGAAAAAAATTCCAAAGAAATTCGAGATGCAACAATTTATATTAATCGAATTACTGTAAATGATAAAAAAAAAATATTATATAATAAATAAATAATAAACTATTTTTAGGACAAAATTAATAGCGTCAAATCTCAAATTGCAACTCTTGAAGCAAATCATCAAGCAAGAATGAATAAAGTTGCACAGGTAAATTTAATCAAAATTAGAGTTTTCCCGTCAAAAAGCAATTAGAATTTTAGATTAAAAGTCAAGTACAAAGTTAAAATAGAAATCTAGAAGTTTACTATTCGAAAGAACAGAGTGAAAAAATTTCAAACTCCATAAAATAGGGCGAACGATTTTCTAGTTATCTAATTCTGACTCTTATTAAAGAAATTGCTTTGTATTCATTCATTTCTGTGTTGAAATTGATGAGAAAACTCCATTTGAAATTTTATGTTTTTTTTTAACTACATAATTAACATAAAGATCTGTGTTGTATTCAGATTTTCTCTTTCCGAGGAATAATTTAAAACTTCAGAAGGGTGAACCCAATCTTCGGAGGGATGTCGCTTCCTCAATTCTCACGCTAAACAGTAAAAAAAACAGCTTTTTTTTGCTCTGCATTTTAGGAACCGAATCGGAATAGATATTGTTAATGTTCAATGTACTTAAGTTTTCTTTAGAAATATGTGAAATGATGACATGATTTAAAGATTTTTTTATTGTAGCTAGGTCTTTGTTTGATTCCTAACAAGAAGGATGTAATGTGAAACTATTCTGTCGACATTTAATCTTACGAAAAAAAAGATTACTAATCGTTTATTATTTCGAAACATTTCGTAGAGATGAGGTGAAGAAGATGAGCAAAACTCTGATGTTTAATAAAGAACGCATCGGCAGCTTTAGGCGTGACGAGTGTGCCAATTGTTTCTCTTTTTCAACAATTTATTGATAGTAGCAGACGAAAATTTTCCAAAAACTACTGGAAAAATTCATATCTATTAGAAGTTTCAATCGGTGAGCGGCAAGCCATATCTAATACTGATGTTATGTCTAAAAAGAACTCTGAGTTGTTGTCTGAAAACTATCTCTGGTTTATGAAATTTTCTAAAATACTTAAGTCTTCGCCTTCGTTTTTTATTGAAGCAAGGCTCGACCCTCCTCAAGCCTAAGGATTCTATCACCTATGGACTACACCAAAAAATTGCCTTTCTTGCCATACTTAAAAAGTAGGAAACATTGGTATCGTGTAATCCATCAGTTGTAGTACTGAACGATTTTCTCATGAAAAAAAAACATGAAATATGTTAATGATTCAAAAAGAATAATCAAACCTATCTGCGAAAAACATAACTTGCAAGAAGTATTGAAGTATAAGACGACAAATATGAATCGAGTTTTTTTTTTACTCTTGTCTATTCGTTGGTACAACAATTTGATTGTCTTCAACATTTCTTGTTGAAAAATTGAAATAGAATTATAATATTTGTTAATTCCTCTTTTGTTTTTGTTTTCTAGGAAAAAGAAAGTATGAAACAATATTTACTTCAATTAAAATCTCAATTATTGGAAATGCAAGACGAATTACGTCGGCGTTTAATAAAACTTGCAACAGCATGTGATACAGTTGAAAAACAACTTGAAAAACGTGTTAAAATAGCTGAAATGATTTTAATATTTGCTGAAATGTGTCGTAAATTAGAAGCTGAAGAAGAAAAAATTTTACCATTTTATGCATCAACATTAACTGATGAAGAACGTTCCGAAGTTGAAACAGCTTTTTATGAACCACCATTTGAAGAATTAGCTAAAGTATGATTTCATAATATTCATTTTCTTTTCATAGACTTTCTTCTATTTCTGTTTTTTTCTTAATATTTTATCTAAGGATATGTATACATTTGATTCACTTGAAATGTTTTGGAAACGATTTAGTAAAGTATCATTGGATAAATTAACTTTAGAAAAGGAACGAAGTATTTTACAATCAGAAAATATGCAATTAAAAATGTTATTAAAACAATATCTTGATGGTATATCAGTAAATGATGAAATAATGAGTCAAACAAATCCATTAATGATTTTATCATCGAGACGTGTACTTGAGTACGTATGATTATTTTAATTAATTTTATAAAATCAATATATCTCTTTTAATTTAAATAGAAGTCAGTCTGCTGGAAAACAGTTATCAAATGCTCGACCAATTAAAGTTGTTATCGAAGCTCAACATGTGAAAAGTGCCTTTTGATATATTTGTATAAGTCTTTTTTTTCCATATATACATTTTGTTTTGCATGTCTTTTTGAAATTTCTTCTTATTTTCTAATATATAAACACTATCCAATTGATAATTTCAATATTTTATTTCATCAATATGATCTTTAATACATATAGTGAATGTGTATATCGAATGATTGCTTCATTCTAATCAATGTGACATAAGCAAATGAATGTTTTTTATAGAAAAAACTAAGTATATTATCCTATATATAAAGAAAAACAAGATACGTTCTATTTGTCCTGAAAAATTTCTTTTATCTAATTAGTAGGAGTCGACTAAGATAGACTTACTCGGTTTGTATATCAGAATTGTTTTCTGAATAATATAACAGTTATTGATCAACAGCTTTCTGTACATAATCGATAATTTTATCGTACTTTTTTAAGTTGTTCATAACTTCCTGTTTGCTTCCACTGAAGAGACGGCCATATGAAATAAACTGATTTTGTGTTTGAGCTTGTACGTATAAAGTTACATGTGCATATAAATTTGTGAGGGCTTAAAAAGTTATTTGAAATATTGTTTTTTCATGGTAGCAATTCAGTCAACGACGTATTTTTGCTGATTAGGTCTCGATCATCAGATCATTTTATGCTGGCAACCTAAGCAATCAGATAATTTCCTTAGCTGAGTATCATCCAAAATAAGTTTCTTTTACACTGGGAACTCAGCCAAACAGATGATTTTTGTATCAAGATTTTATCCAATTAGATGTTTTCAATATCCAACTGTCATTAAACCAGTTTCTTTCCACTCACATGCCATCAGAATGATACGAAGAATATAATTGCATCGTTGTTATCTTTAGATGATGTAGAGTGTATGGAACTACGTGTACGCCTTTGCTTGGAAAACTTTTATACGCCGTGGGGCGTGCACATGCAAATCAGATATGTTGTTTTCAACTAGAAACAACCTCTCATTCACTAACTATTCATATATGCTTTGATTGATAACATCACGAACATAACAACGATCACATAGATGACTTTTACGATAAAACGTAAAAGTTTGATGAGATTTATCCATATACATTAACCTAAACGTCATTGAAATTTTATGAAAGAATAAAAGGAAATAACAATTCTAAAAATAATTGGAATTGAAACTTACACAAAACTCCATTGTTTCAAAGTGAAATATTTTCTCATCGACAAGTTGTTGCCATCGAGTTAATCTTACAGAATATATTCTCACAAAAAACCTATCAATATCTCATCAACATAAGAAAATCCAATCAGAATTATTTAACTTCTATAGTTCTATTGAAAAATTTTTGCTGATTAATATACTTTGACTGTTATATAAAATGAGATTTATCTAAAACTTATATTAAATGATGATTCACAAAATAGAATTTATATTTCATCTTAATCTTTAATATGCAATGTTGAGTGTCCAAACAGCGAATCAAATACAAGAGAAAAAATGCTGAACAAGAACATACATCTGTCTAAGTAGTACCATATAAACTTTTGATCGAAAGTTTTTGTTGCAAACTCTTTTCATATTCTTTATACATTTGTACCTCTTCGTCATTTGTATCTTTCGTCAGAAGTAGGCGTGCTATAGCTTTTTGAATTGTTTCTATCCCTTCTTTCAATTGTTCTAATGCCTCCAATGTTGTTGCTATATTATAATAAGTTACAGCTACAGTAGGATGAGTTTTTGGATGTAATTTAAGCTCAATTTCGAGGCAATGTTTATAATTTTCTAATGCTTCTGTATATTGACCAATTTTAAATTGAGCTCCAGCAAGACTGTGATATTTAACTGCCAAATTTATATCGTCGCCATTTGGATGAAATTGTTCTCGAATTTGTAAATCATGTTGAAGAAATGAAATTGCTTCATCATATTTGCCTTGTTTTACAAGTACAGAAGCAATATTACCTGCATAAGTTGCAATTGATTCGGGATCAGAATTTGAAGATTTTACTTGTATATTATACGCTTTCATATGAAATTGAAGTGCTTGTTTATCAAGTCCTTGTTTATGACAGATACTTCCTATATTATTATAGGTAGGTGTTAATTTTATATCATCTAGAGGTAAAACACGTAAATAAACTGTAAGAGAATTTTGAAGTTGTTCAAGTGCATGGTCATATTGTTCTTGTTCATAATAAAAACTACCAAGCGTATGAAATAATTCACCAACAATTAAATTTGCTATTTCATTGTCTACAGTTATTGGATCATCCATTAACATGAGACAAAAATATTTTGTATGTTGAATGTATTCCATCTGTTTCATAAGCTTGGCCATACGAAGTAATGGAAAAGATCCATGAGCAGCTTCACGTACATTTTTCGTTACTTCTTGTATTGCTTGCAATACGTCATCATTTGATGTTAGTTTTACAATTGGTATTTTTTTATTTGTCTGTTTGACATTTGAAATACGAAATATAGTTGCAGCACTAATGAATACTTGTTTATGAGATGTTTCAATATCTATTTTAGGAATTGTAGTGCCGAGTTCCATTTGAAAAAGAACTAATTTAAATTCAGAATTATTAAACGACAGTCCAGTAGTTCGTTGTTGTTGTTGTTGTATAATTTTAGTTTTATTTGTTAAAAGAAATTGACTAAAAGCTAGAAAACCTCCTTGATTTTTTAATATTATATCAAAATTATCATTTGATATATGTTGAATGTAATAAACAATTGTTGACGTTTTAACGAAGTTCGATTTCAACTGATGATGAAGATATTGAATAAAAAAACGAAGGTTAAAAAGTAAATCCGGTTCTGGTATTCGAAAGGCTCGTGTAAGCATTTTAAATAGAAATGTTTCTTGACGTATATACCATTTAACTGCTTCATCAGGTCGAAAATGATGTTCAAATTCATCAATAAATCTCAATTGTATATCATTATCAGCATATACTTGACGGCAGAAGTCTAACATTTGTTTTTTCAAATCAGTTTTCTCATCGGTTTCCAAAAGTATATCTTTCAATACTTGTATATAAGCAAAAGTACTGTCACTAGTGTCACCAGCAGGGATTGATAAAATCGTACTAAGATCATATGTAAATAGTGCGATATCTTTCTCAAGTTGATCCCAAATATTAGTTATATTTGGATAGATACCTCGAATTTTTTCAAAATCATTTGAATAATCTTTAATATCGTCAATAATATAAATAGAATGAATTTGTGAAGCATCACGTATATTTCGATCTAAATTTTTCATAGTTGTACTTGATAAAATTAAAATAATTTGTTCATTAACAATTTGAGTGATAAATTCAATACATATTTTATCATTAATATAATTAAATATGAATCCAAAATTTATAATACCACGTAATTTTGTCTTGTCTACATTTGAAATTTGTATGTTGCTATCAAGGATATAAATAAAATTTTCTACACTCTTTTCAAGACGTACCATACGAATTAATGGAGATTGATGTGAGAGATCTTGTAATTCTAGGCAAATAAGGAAGAATATCAGTTAAATTCTTTGAAATTCTAAAGAAATATTTTTAATCAATATGCAGAAAGAACTTGATTGAAGTTCGATTTTAACATTTTTTTTTTACTGAAAAAGTACACTCATGATAATATCATCTTAGCTAGGAAACATACGTTGTTGTTGTATTTGAGTCATAGACATTTGGAAAATATTTTTCGCACCTACTGTACTGAAACTATCAGCTGAACTGTGAGTGTCCCAAGGAATGATATCTGTTTCATTGGGCCATGTTTGAATATATTCTGTTCCTTGTGAAGATACCAATGATGTTGTTTCTTCTATATAAGTATATAGAGTATTATTGATAAACAACTCTCTTAATGAATTTTTACTAGGACTAAGTTCAGCATTGTGCTTGATTGAATTTCTTTTCATAATCGATGGATTGTTAGATTTTCTTGGAATTCTTTTTTTCGATGGTTTTTGTTCTTGAAGAAGTGTATACTCTAGAAGACTGAAGTCAACTGATGCTGTTTGTTCTGTAAAATTACATAAATATATAAGAGCAATACATTTTCTTAAAAGTATTTCATGTAGACAATTTGTACCTCGAGTTAAATGTTGTTGAGAGGAAGATTTGGAAGATAATTTCTTATTCTTTTGTTCATCTGTTAGCTATTTAAAGAAATAAAAAAAAAAAAACTAGATGCCTTACGTTTGTTTATGTCGTTTAACCTGTTTATCTTTGTTCCCTGACAAAAAAACCAAATATTTATAAAATTCAGACGGTTGAAATTATTTGAAAGATTACTTACCATTCTCATCCATTGTGTTAACACTATCTTTATGTTTTTTATGTTGTGTTATCTATAATAAAACATGATATATCATTAATATTTAATGAAAAGTAGAATCAATTACTTTTTTATTTCTATGATGTTCTTTTGAATTTGCATTTGGTTTTTCTGATGAATCATATTCTTGATTATCAACTAGAAATATATAAGAACATATAATTTTCTTCATCGAAAAAATATATTAATCTTACTTGAGAGTTCAGGTGTAGATGTTAAAAAACATTGAAGTACATTTTGAGTAGAATCATTTCGTGCCTTACATTTAAAAAATCAAACAAACAAAATTACATAATACTCCTTAACAAAAAAAAACTCCATTTTTCATGAAAATTATTCATAATATGTATTCATGTTAATATTGAATCGTTGATTTTCTATTCTAACTTGAACAAAAAAGTCTAATAATAGACAAATATTGATCTCATTTCTTGTTTAAAAATCTCTTTAACAAATACTACTATAAATAATTTCCAAAATAAACTGAATCAAATCGTATATTTAGATGTTCATTTATTGATTATTTGAATTCTGGAAAAAAATATATTCTCGTTTATTTTATTATAACTATACTTACAGTATCTGATGGCGTAGTATTAACATTTGGTGTTAGTGCTCTTTGAAAATATTTTCTTCGACAGCTAGTAAAATTAAACATATTTTTATACTATACTTTGTATAATAAATATTTAATTTACTTCTCACAAGGACTAGCTTTTCGAACCTGTTCGATCAAAAATCTACTATGTTGATTAATATGTTGATTTCTTCTACCATATTTAAACTCACAACAATCATTTATTACACTATCAATAAATCCTTTGGCATAAAAAGCCAATGAGAGAGGAGATGTGGATCGACGTTGTGATTTGAATGAAAAGGATTCTATACAAACATAAATGTTTGATAATTATTTTGATTAATGCACCTACCGCCTTCGGTTAAAAATCCTCTATAGATGACTAAATTTTCTCCAGTGGTATGTTGTTGCATGACAACAATTTCATCACGAGCAGGTTGCCCGTTTTTCGTAGTTGGCTTTAATCCGTAAAACATAGTTACTTCGCATACATGACGCTCGACGGAAAGCACATGTGGTTTATCCAACTGTAGAATGAATCATTTTCATATAAAATATTGTATGCTAGTAAATAATATCACATAGACTTACTAGTTCAATATGATTTTGTTCATAATCAGATTCTGATAAATCTTTGTTAATTTTTGATATTGTTTTATGCGCAGAAGTCACTCGTATTCGTTGTTCACCATCATTTTCCGATTTCTGAAATTACTTTATTATATCGTGACTATGTACGAAACTTGATCATTACCGATAAATAACCCGGAGCACTTTTCTCACGAGATTTTTTACGTCCATATGATTGCTTTCTATACTGTCTACTGAGAGTCTTTACAAAAGGAAAAAAACAAAAATATTAATTTTATTGAAGATTTCTTTAATCTCACGTCAAAATTACTATTCACAGCACGTCGTGCAGTAAGATCGAATTGATGACGACGACTACGACGATTATTTTGATCAATTTTTAATGTCCTAAAACCTATTTCAATAAGCAATAGGAATTAATCATAAAAATAACAAAACCGTATAACAATTTCTTGTTTTATTGCTTCACGTTCTCGTCGTTCACGTTTTCGTTGAGATAGACTACGAAGATAGTCATGTGATGTAACAATCTGACCACGATGACTTATCTAAATTTCAAGCAAAAGACTTTTTTAAGGACATAATTGTTTTACTTTTTTTTTTGGAACTTATGCAAAAAAATTTTCTAACTATAAATTTTAAAAGATTATTTTATATATACCAGTCCAGCAAGTTGTAATTGTTGTTGCGCATACGGAGATGTAAGTAGTGTTTGAAGACGAAGATCAATCTTGTTAGTATATGGTCTGTAAAAAATTTTACACAACGGGTTTTGAATAGAATTTCGTTAAAATGCATAAATTTACCTTGTTGCAATTCGATCCACCATTGGTTTTGTTTATTGTATAGTGTTACAATGCGTCTTTTTTTTCTTACTCGCGTGCTGTTTAATAAGGCATGAAATAAAAATTCAAAATTTGTTTACTCAACTTCGTAGAAGAATGAATGGTACACTATTTAACTGTTTCTCTCGATGTTTTTATATTTTTGACAGAAAAAAAGACGCAACGAATTAGTTGTATCTTAGTTTACAAAAAATGAATTGTTTTAATGCATTTTAGTAAAATAATTTTTTTATTCTTATTTGCATGTTCTTCAAATGAGGGCAAGTAACAGAATGTTAAAAAAAATGTGATCTACCAATGAAGTATTATTTGTTGAATTAAGAACAAGTGAAAAGAAAAATCATATATTCAATTTCATTGTTTTATTTAAAAATCAAAAGTAAACAAAAGAAGTGTATCGAAATTCTCGTCGATATTTTCTAATGCGAGAAATTTTTTTTTCGTTCTTTTATGTCTATTGTTTGTTTTTGAATCTTTCTAATCACCTAAAAATTTCTTGTTCGATATTTTTCATGGCATTTTCTTCACTTCGAACATGAAATCATCTTACTGTCCTGAATAGATTGAGAGATTCAGAGGAAAAAATCTCATTGAAATTCATTTGATTTTAATAATCAATTAGACGTGAACAATATTCAAATTAAGTCAAGCATGCTTCTTTTCTTCTATGCTTGATAGATTAAAGACTAGCATATAAGTCGTAATTTTGAGTTTCGACGGATTTAAGTGAAATTCGTGATCAATATATTAGATTTAATATATGATGTTTAGTTCAAAAGAATATTTTATCCTTTGATATTTACTGTTTATATTGTTGTATATTAAAGATTCCTAACCGACCATTCGGTGGGTATCGGAGTTCCAGATCGAACCCACGGAGTCTCACTTTCCGTTAGGTCAAGTACTCGACGATGAGTTGCTTTTTCAACTATTTTACAGATAATAATATTTCATTTCAAGGACTCGAAATATGAATTTCGATACTCAGCGAAGAGCTTTTCCGATGAATACGAAGTGATGAGAGTCGTAGGTCCGCAAATAGTGAATATTTTGTACTGGTTCGATAGATCGAAATTCCGACCACTCGAAACTTTGTAAATTTTTAAAAAGTCTGTCTTCCGCATTTTGAAACTATTTATTTTCGAGCACTCAACATCCATCGGATATTTTTTATCAGAGCTCTCGATACCTATCGGATGTTTTTCCAGAGCAGTAGATTCGAAAATATATACTTACGATTACGAAGCTGGTACAGATCAGATGAGTGAAACATGACATTCTTTAACTAAGCAAAACTACATTTTATCATTAAACATTGAAGTTTAATAAATTTTTCACATATTCTCAAGTAATCTTTTTTTTTTGAAAACTAAAAAAAGAATATTTTTACTGCCATTGATGCAGAAAATAATTATAACTATATTAAGTTTATTTATGCTAAATAAAAATTTTGTGAAAAAATATACAGCGCATGTCCATTCATTAGAATTTATAAAAGAAACATTTAAAAGAAAAGAAAAAATATGATAAATTTTACACAACTACTCTAAGATTTCAATATTCGATTATTTTAATAATTTTTTTTTATCGTTGAGAAATCTGTGGGAATTGTTATGCAAAATATGAGATGATGATCTACAAATAATACACACAAAAGATTTCCAAAATATGAAAGAATGAATTTCTACACTTGATGAGTATTGCAATATGTTTCAAAATATTTTATGTTTTTTAATATCGAGATGAGAACGTAGCCAGTTCTTTTTGATGAATGTTAAAGACGAAATCCAGACAGAAAAATCAAAGTTAACAGAGAATTCATTGATTGATGCAGATATGATAAAATAACAACTGATTGTTGCAATAAAAAAAAAAGGAAATTTTGAACTTATTTTGTTTCTTCTCTTCCAATTTTCATGCACAAAATCAAATCTAATAAAAATTTGTGTATAGAAGTTTAATAAGGTATATCGAACCGCAGTATAGTTTCTGAAATAAATTTTAAACAAAAAGCTTGAAAAAAAACTCGATAACTTGAAACTATTTCACAATGGAATTGTGTTCGATAGAATGTCTGAGTATTTATTTAGTAACACCTAATCGGAAAACGATCGATTGTTCGAAATAATCCCATTGATGAGCTTCTTCCTATGATAAGATTAAATCTTGATAGTTCATAATGAATATTTTTTTTTTGATACAAAAGGCACATATATTTATATCATTTGTTAATCCAAGAGTATTAAATATTTTCCTGAAAATCATGAACTTATGTATACCTCTACAATAGAAATTGATTTATTGGATGACAGAATTAAACGAAAACGTAGAATCACTAAAAAAAAAAGAAATTTCAAAGAAGTTTTCACCGATTAAAATTTAACTGCATAGTAAAAATTATTTTACCGTCAGATTTTCCCTCGAAGAGCAATGACCACTTCGATACACTTCGAGTGGTTGAAATCATATTGAACAATCGATAATAGCTTTCTGATAGGTTTTCTGCTTCGAGTACTCAATAATTCGATGATTTTCCAGAGGTGGAAATCGTACCGAACAATTGAAAGTAGCTCTCCGATAGGCTTTGTTACTTCGACTACTTGGTAATTGGATAGCTTTCGAGAGATCAAAATTATATCGAACAAACAGAAGTAGCTTTTCGACAGGCTTTATTACTTCCACTACTCGATAATTCGATGATTTTCGAGAGGTCAAAATCACATTGAACCATCAAAAACAGGTTTCCCATAGGTATTGCCACTCCGACTACTCTGTAATTCGATGCCTTACACATGGTCGAAATGGATCTGAACAGTCGAGAATCAGTGTTCGATGGGAGAATGTTTCTGAGGACTCCATTTTCGATGGGTTCGAATATCAAACAGAACGAGAAAAAAATATCTATTTTAAGTTTCGACTACTCATCGCGTCCCTCACTGACTTTTTATGGCCTGCTTGGGATTTGTTTTTAATTATGAAATATATTGGTCAGCAAATGATCTTATATACTATTCCACAAACTACTTAAACTTTTCTGTTCTAGAACTTTCTCATAGAACGAAAGAAGAATTACGTCTTACAATCGCTAGAACAATGCTCTTTCCATTTTTTTGAATTAGAATTTCTTTTTTTCTATCTTACAAGCCAATAAAAATAGATTAAAATGATTTTATTCTATGAAATTCTATAAATTTCGAGAGTTTGACATACTATACTCTTCGTAACCCTTATTGTTTGATAATACCATTTTCAATGAGCTTTAATTTGTCATGAAACTTATGCTTTATTCTATTTGCAATCATGACCGTAGTCCTGCTCGAAAAAATATTACTTAGGGCATACCAAAAGTAGTGGCGGACACATCTCAATTGCGTACAGAACGCTTGAGAAAATTTTCTATTTTTTTATGCAATGATAGAGAAAATAATGCTCTATTTTTCTATGCTATTGGATCAGTACTCAACTAATATCATAATTTGTAAAATTTTGACAGTGAGCTGTTTGATATGATATGTAACCTTTGTATGAATGCTCGTGGGTATATTTTAAATAGGTTTTGATAGAATCAGGATAGAAAACTGCGATTTTCATCGTTGGAAAGAGGAGATGAAGACGCATCGAATCACACATTATGGAGTTTCCTGATCTGTTTTTTTTTGTAAGGTCTTCAATTGGCCTTTTCAGGAATAAACCCATCCCGTGAGTTGTTTACAGTGAATTTTTCAATAATCAGATATACATTCAAATCGCCAACCGAAGATCTACAAACTGTGAAAGGCTCAGATGTTTAAATTTAATTATTCAGAGATAATATGTATTCTAGTTGAACCTCTAATACGATTTTCTAGCAACTTTTTTGCTTTTTCTGTTTTTCATAAAAAAAAGCATTTTTCTGACGATTAGAAAATGCAATAAAAAGACTTCAGAAATCACATTAGAAAAACCTATTATAGATGATTCGATGTGTCTTCATCTCCTTTTTTTAAAGGTGAAAACCATGATTTTCTATCCTGTTTCGGTCGAAGCTTATTTCAAAAATACTCACGAGCATTCATACAAAGGTTACATATCATATCAAATAGCTCATTGTCAAAATTTTATAATTATTATATTAGTTGAATAGTGATCCAATAACATAGAAAAATAGAGCATCGTTTTCTCTATCATTGCATAAAAAATAGAAAATTTTCTCAAGCGTTCTGTACGAAATTGAGATGTGTCCGCCACTACTTTTCGTATGCCCTAAGTATTTTCCACCTAGTATAATTCAGTTTTATTGTAGCAAGAAAATCAATGAGAACAATAGGGACGTTGTTTATCAATTAGTAATACAGTATGTTAGAAAGGTAATAGAACTTTTCATCGTAGACAGATGGTCACGGATAAATTGTCGCATGTATAAAATATTGCAATATCACTGAACGCTATATATTTGTATATCAAAAAATGGCTGTTGATGTAGATATTTCTTCCACTAACACCTACATCCACGTCCAAACCCATACCCTACAGTCCATGCGACGAATTGTTCTGCGATGAGAAGTTCGGTCACCTATTAGAAATAGTGAGCAACTTGAACTAATAATCAAAATCGATAGAGTTCTCATATGTGTTCAATATTCCTAATTTCATATGTTCTTAAAGTAAAAAACAGTAGTTTTTTTTCTCTCATAAAGTCAATTAATATAGTTCTCAAAATTTAAAGTTATCTAAAAAATCTTTCAGTTGCAGAATCTTTGCTGATATTGATAAAACGTTCGGTTCTATTCTGAATGTAGTGTTATCTTTTGGTTGATACAATATTTACTCAATAGCTTTTATTTTACTTATCAACAAAGAGAACTTTCAATATCTATGTCTTATTAACATTTACTTTGAAATGTAACACTACATCTTTCAGCAGATGAAAAGAATTATAATTAAAAATCATACAATTATAATGTTGAAAGTAGTTTCTGCATGTCTTGACTATATAAATATTGAC